GGGAAGGGAGCTTCTCACAGAATCCCAGATCTCAGCAGCTGTTAGGGCTGTGGCTTCCTCCTGCACAGGCTACATTGCTGCAGGAGTGGTTCAGGGGCCTGTGTGAAGGAAAGTAGGACACAGACCATATGCCACGGAGTCAGGACTCAGTAAAGTTCCTATTATCATAGCTTTGGATTTCTCCTGCTGCCCTCACCCCCACATTTCTACATTGTCCCATCAGTGTGCCACTGTCATCCTGCCCTGACTTATTCAGGACTTGAATCCAGGAATAATCCTATGCCAGTCCCCTTGCTAAACATCAGGTACACAGAAGGGCAGTGTAAAGACTATCCATTGGGGCAGTGGAGAAGCCTCCTGTTAGAAGAGTTAAAGCAGGGCCTGGCCCTGGCACCAACTTTCACCTCCCCATTCTAGGTCGGTCTGTGACCTTTAGGCTTATCCTGATCTTGGGAAGGATGAACTTCTTTGTTGTTTTCTTATCTCCTCTTTCTGGCCAGTAACATAGGCTTTTTTTTTTCCCCCCAGAAAGCCCCTTTTCCCCTTCTGCATTGAAATATGCTGGCTATTCTATTTTCCTTTATGTCCATGAGTAAAAGGTAAGTTCCTGATGTACTAGGCAATGTCTTGGCCCTTTCTTGGTACTGACCATAGCACCCAGCCCTCCAGCATGGAAAGGAAGGCCTCACGCATAAAGGTACAGAATGCCATTGCTGAGAATCTAACGGAGTGATTGCCAATATATGTCATAATAAAAGACTGCTCTTTCATAAATGAAAAATCATTTTTAAAAATCCTAATTATACTTCATCTGTTTGGCTCAATATTTAATATCCCTACAGTATTTTAAATGGGCTCTCTAATTTTGCTTTTTTTTCCTTTCTAATTATTTCTATCTTTGTTTCAATTGTAAGAAGTTAACAAGAACTACAAGTCTTGCCAATAGCATCCACACTTTCAGTTTTAAAATTTCTGCTCATTTTTTGGTGAGCAACAAGGCTATTGACACCACAGAACAGACAGGGGGCTGACACTGCAGCAACCAAGCATAGTCGCACTGGTGTGATGTCACGAGACAACTGAGAAGTTTTGCTTATCCATGGGCACTCGAAAGTCCAAATTCAACCTACAGAAGGTGATTGAAGAGGGTTAAAGTACAAAGTTTGAAAACGTGGGTTGTTCACAAGCCAAATACATAGAAGTTGAAAATGTTGTCCAGTCCCACACAGAATGTAAGCACCTTGCAGGCAGGAACATTGTCCATTCTGTACATTGCTGTATCCCAGTGTCTAGAACAGGGGCTGGCTCATAGTAGATGTTTAATACTTACTGAAAGCAGCAACTGCCTATGCTTTGGAGTTGTTGTAGCCACTTGTCCCATTCTACCTTGTATTACCATTATTGTATTTTATTTCAAGACCAAAAGTTTTTGAAAGCAGAAATAAGTCTTCCCTCCTATTACATGTATCTCATTCACAACTAGGATTCAATCACTCTATAGTAAGTTATCTAATTTAGCCAATGATTAAATAATTTAGAAACGAAGTCCTAAATAGGTCATGAGGAAAGCGATGGCCCATGCGATAGAAATGGACAATTTCTGGAGCCCCTAGAAGACCTAAAGTAACTGTGTGGCAGGGAAGTAAATTTCCTGCCCCAGAAATCTGGCAAAAGAATTCACTTGAGGATTTAAGTCTCAGAAATAAAGACCCAAGGTAAGAGGCAGAGAAGGGGAGGTCTTTTTCAGGGCCTATAGATTAAGGGTATTTAGATACCAGTTAAGAAAGGGACCAGATGCCAGCCAGGTTTGTGCTTCAGCTTAACCATGTTCCTTGCAAAACTTGCTTATGGGAAGATCAGAAGCTCTGACGATCATTACTGAAGAGGATTCAGAGAAATTATCGCTTACTCCCGGTTGAAGAGAGAACAAGTCGTGGTCTTTTTTTGGTGTCAACCTCTATTGAAATGTGCTGTTGTCAAATCAAAAAGGGGACAGATTCGGAATTTTACAACTCTGATAAAAGTGAAATAAAAGGAAATCTGTATCATCTTAATCAAAGCATGTGCCACCTGAGTCGGCTCCCCGTCTCGTCCCTTGGCCTTGGTGACTCTCGTGTGCTGGAGGTTAAGGGTTTGTTAAAGAAGATGGGTTTTGATTAAGTGTCACATTTAGTGTGATGTGACATGCTCTTTATCATTGCAAGGGAAGATTGGGGGCCAAGGGGAGCTTTATAGCTAGTTCCCAATATAAATTAGGAGTCTTGGGGAATGGGTGCTTTGCAGTTGGCCTTGATCTTTCAAGGGCCCAATGAATGTGTGTATGTGAGAGTGTGCATGCATGTGTGTGTGTGTGTGTTTGGAGAGATAGCAGAAAAGTCAGTTTCCAGGTTCCTGCACTAATGGGCTGGTTACCCCCTCTTGGAGTTTGACTTGCAATTGTAACACAAGGCTCCAGTTCTAAATTTGTCCACATTCTTGATGTACCAGGCAGAGGTCTTCGTGCTTTTTACTCCTTTGGAATTTCAGGGTTGCCACTGCACAAATTTGAAGATAGAGAAGCAAGAGGAAGCATTCCAAGTGCTGAATGCCATTTCTAAAGAACCAGAGGCCATGGATGATGCCTCCCCTGACTTTACCCAGAGAAAGAAAATGTACAAATTCCCTTCAAATCTAAGGTGCACAGCACATCTGCAGACTCTGATTCTGGCTTAACTTGGAGGAGGGAGAGCACAGAGAAAGGGGTCAGAGGAAACACCCAGAGTGAGATGGAGTTCTCACGAGGAAGGGGAGGAGAGAATGGGGATTGAGGAATACATCCCAGAAGGACACTTCCACCCAATGGATTCCCTGCCTCCAACTTAATCTTCTCCAAATATCACTCACATGGAGTCTCTTCCCTGCTCGAAATCTTTCAATAGCCCTCTTTTTCCCTCCCATTGCCTACAAATGAAAATCCACACTCTCCATCCTGGCATTCGATGCCCACATCCTGAACACCACCAAATGAGACTTCTGTTCACTGCCCACAGAGTGACTTGTTCCTGTCTTCAAGCACCCACTCATGTCGCTCCCCTGCCTGAAATGCCTTCCCCATTTCCCTCTCCTATGGAAAGGCCACCCATCTTCCTTAAGATGGAGTCACAGCCCACTGAGATCACTCCTTTTATTTATTCCAGAAATATCAATTGAGAGCCTACTAAGTGCCCAGAACTGCTCTGGGCACCTGGGATAGGACAGAGGACAAAACAGACAAAGCTGCCTGCCTTTGGGGAGCTTGCACTATTGCAGAAGGCGAGACTCTGATACTAAATGCTAAACGCAGTTCATCAGCAGGGTGACTTAGTAGCTGAGGTTGCTATGGAAAAAAGAACAAAACAGATCAGGGAAAGGGAGACCAGGAGCTTGGGCATCAGGGGGCAGAGACCGGTTGCAGTATTAATAAACATGGTTGGGCCCATCTCACTGAGGTGGAAGATTCTGGGGAGCTGAGAAGACAGCTGAGCCGATGCCTGGGGGAGGAGAGTTCTGGGCAGAGGGAACATCTAGAGTAAGGATGTTCTCTGTCCACACAGAGTTGCCCTGTCCTCAAGAGGGATGGAGCACCCCGCCTTCTCTCCCTTCTCCTCACTTTTCTGCAGGCAGCAGGTCTCTGGAAAAGACGCCTGTGGACAAAGAAGATAGAAGAAGATCCATAAGGTTGACACTGAAGGGAAAGGACTCTAATGTTTGTTGTGGCATTAAGGCAGAGAAGTTAGAACAGTAATGGAGAAGTGCTCAGGTTTTTATTGTTCAAAGGTAATTTTTTTAAACATCAAATTTATAATAGTATTACCCAGCTCTTGATGCGGGAAAAAATGCCAACTACACTTGGGAAATAGCCAACACCCCTTTGCTCCTTGAAACAGCTCCTCCCAGCTCAGTTCCTCCCTTCTGCTGACTCACCCATTGCCCTGCGGCTGGGTTTCCGCCCTCATCACTGAGACTTCACCAAAGCTTTCTAATGTCCATCTCCCTGGACAGAGTCCCAGCCCCATCCTTATGTGCAGGTTGTCTTGCCTTAATGTGGATTATGGAGCTGAGTCTCTGCTCCTTCACTTCCTCCCTGTGTGACCTTGGGTGAGTTACTCAGCCAGTTTGGGTCTTGATTCACTTATCCATTAAATGGGGTTTATCTTAACATCCTTCTGTGGCTCACTCCATGCAAAGCACTGGGCATAGGGCCTGGCCCACCATCAACCGCAAAGAGTGATCGGGTTGCCACTCTGACTCTGACTCCTGGGTTTCAGGCCTCCTATCGGAGCCTTCTTCCTCTTTTTTTTTTTTTAGACAGAGTCTTGCTCTGTCACCCGGGCTGGAGTGCAATGGCGCAATCTTGGCTCACTGCAACCTCCACCTCTTGGATTCAAGCAATTCTCCTGCTTCAGCCTCTTGAGCAGCTGGGACTACGGGCACCTGCCACCACCCCCGGCTAATTTTTTGTATTTTAGTAGAGACAGAGTTTCACCATGTTGGCCAGGCTGGTCTCAAACTCCTGACCTCGTGATCCGCCCACCTTGGCCTCCCAAAGTGCTGGGATTACAGGCGTGAGCCACCGCGCCTTCCTCTCTTGCTGCTTGCAGCCTCTGCTCCCTCCCACCTTTCTGCCCATTCCGTAAGTGACAGCGAGGTTTCCCAGAACTGTGGCTTCTCTCCCTGCCCACACTTCCTACCTGGCCTCTTCACAGCCACAGTCAGGGCTTCAACCACCCCCATTTATACTAGTAGCCACCACCCCCACTTTCTCTATCCCAGCCCCTAGCCCAAGTTCCAGACTGATGGATCCACTTCGTGCGTGCGGAGCAGCACTCAATCTAAGTCTGTCTAGGCTGACCTCATTTCTGCCCCACCCTCACCTCCTCTTCCTGATCCCTGTATATCATTACCGCCCCTCCCTCCCAGCCTGTCATTCATTCTTTTAATCATCAACACTCTGGAATGTCTGTAAAGTTAAACAAAGATCTCTGGGATGTGGTCCCTACCCTCAGGGATCTCCCAGGGCAACAGACAGAGGCAGTAATTACAATTCAAAGAAGAAGGTGGCTTGACAAAAGGAAACATAGGCCTTAGGTGAGTGGCAACAGAGGGGCCTACATGGCCTAGGGGTTCAGGGGACTTCTCTAAGAGGGCTTGAGGAACCCAGGCAAGAAGTCAGCAGGAATGGCCCTGAATACATTCTTATTTTGGAGGACTCAGTTGCTTATTGCCTCAGGAAAGAAATAAGGACAGGTGGCTTACAGACCTCTCTGGGCCCCAGGCACTCTTACGTGTGGAGACCATTAAATGCATGCCTGTCCCACATCAAACAGTTGTTTTGTATTACTGTTTCTGAGAGATCTCTGATAACTTTGCTTTTTAAAGTTATCTTTCTGGCTAAAACCCCCCTAACCCCTGCTAATTTAATATGCGTTGCCTATACTTCTCTCAAGGCCGTGAATAGTCAGAAACCCTTGTACAGGAGAAAAACCTAACCCACAAATTGCTGTCAAATGTACTGAAATTTTTATGAAATCAAAAGTTAATAAGAGAGCTGACATAATGTACATTTTGTAGCCATTGAAATATTTGTTAATTTTAATTTTATACTTTTCTTCTTTTGGAGCTACCCCACCCCCACCCTCCACCTCCACACCACCCCTTGCTGCCGGGTTTCAAGTGTTTTAGTAGGACCCTGGCAAGTTTGTAGTCCTGGTGATGAGCTTAGGGAGGTTACTGGGTAACTAGGCCATCAGAACCAAGCCAGCATCCACCAGGATGGAGAGGACGGGCAGGACAGGTGGTATTTAAGAGACATTTAGGAGAGACACATTTAGGATAAGACTTAGTGAAAAATCAGAGTTGTGCAGAGAGGACTTCAGGGCGACTCTGAGAGTCTGGGTGACTGGTGGACCCATTCCCCAAAGACACAATGAAGGAGAAACAAATGGAGGGAAGAGAAATGGTTAATTTGGGGTGGGGCACATTAACTCCAAGACAGGCAACCAGTTTGCCTGAAGGACCCCCAAATGGAGACATCCAGGGGACTTTAGATGGATGGGTCTGGGGATGAGCAGAGCCAGGGTGAGTGGTAATCATGATATTAACAGTGGCTAACACATGCTCTTGGCTTAGGAAGGGCCAGCCCCTGCACTAAACACTTTGTCCTCTCAACAGCCCTTTGGGGTAGGTGCTGCTGCCATTTCCACATTACAGATGAGACAGAGCTGCAAGGAGGTGAAAGGAACTTGCCCAAGGCCACACGCAGATGTAGGTGGGGGCACTCTGCCCAAACTCTGAGCCACTTAATCTGGGAGATGGGAGGAATTAGGAGGTGCCCAAAGTCTTAGGAATACAAGTAAAGGTTAAAGTGTACGGAGACAAGAGATGATTCTGAGGGAACACCCAGTATTCTAGGAGAGTCTGTGGAGGAGCAGCAACTTGAGAAGGAAGGGGAGACCTGGACAGGGTTGGGTCCTGGATACCTCTGGGATGCCAGAAGGAGGGTGGCATAGCCATCATTGTGAGGAGCTGCCACAGTGGCACTGGATGTCCATTTGGCAAATTGGAGCTAAATTAGCAGGGCTCCAACTGAGGTTTGTGGGAATATTCAAAGGCAACCAAGTAGAGCAGGAATCAGGATGAGAGCTGAAAACTCACCAACATCCCTCTCCCTAAGCCGGGTACCACTCCCCACCAAGTCCCACATGAGCCAGAACAGAGCAATGGGGTGCAGGTTGGGGGGTGGGCAAACGATGGATGTAGAAGAAGTGTATCAAAGACTTGCCTTTCAAGTTGTTTGGCTAGAAGGAAAGGAGAGTGAAGGTGACGTCTAGAGAGGGAAGCAGGGTTGAACATTTCTCCCTGAACCGAAAGAGCCAGCAGACAGGGGAGGATGAATGAATGAACTGGGCACTGCGGTTACCTAGTGACCCAGCAGAACACTTTCCAACTGAGTCTTCCTTACAAACCACAGAACACTGAGCTCCCTACACCTTGCTTCAGGAGGGCTCTCAGGGTTGACAGTTTTTAGTCAGCCCTGCAGAAAGGAGACAGACAATCAGTTTGCTCCTAAATATCACTGGCTCCATTCAGCCTGGAATGGCGACATCAGACATCAAAGCACAGACTGCTGGGGTGTGGGGGACCCGAGAGAACCATAGGCAGAGCCTTCTGAAACAGAAGAGCCACACGCAAGGATGACTCTGAACATTCCCCCTTTCAACAAAGCGATATGGGCTCATTAAATAACATTTGGAAAACACAGTAAAGTTAATTAAAGAAAATATCCCAGTCATAGTCCTGTTATCCAAACACTAGTATTACTCACTTTTTAAGATCTTCTGGAGATTTTTTCTGTGTAGGGTTTTTGTTTTGTTTTGTTTTGTTTTTTAAATCTTAGCTGTAATCATGTCTACAATTTCATATCCTGCTTTTCCTACTTACTATATTGTGTTTTCTTCTGTCATTACTCACTTTAGTTTATTGTAATGAGTGCATCAAATGTCATCGTGTGAATTTGTCAAAGTTTATTTAACCATTGCCCTAGAGTTGGACATTTAGATTACTTTCAATGTTTTGCTGTTATTGATTTTTGTTATTATAAATGATATTATAATGCATATGTGCACATAAACCATTTTTTGGCATTTAGGGTTATTTCTTAAGACAGAGTCTCAGAAGTGAAGTTATAGAGTTAACAAATATGAACACTTCTCAGAGTTTTACATTCATACTGCCAAATTCCTCCCCAAAGGGCACTGTATTAATGTATACTGTGATTAGCAATGCTTAAAAATGTGAGCTTTGCAATGGCTTAAACCACACTGGCTAGTATTACTAAAAAAAAATTGTTTTTGCTAATTTAATAGGTAAAAAGTGAGCTTGATTTTTTAAGGTAAACTTTATAGTGAATTTTATCATGCATTCAGAAAAGTACACAAATCACGAGTGAATTTTTACAAAGTGAACACCCCTGAGTAACCGGCACCCAGATCAAGAAACAGAACCCTGGAGGCCACTGTTGTGGCCCTGTTCCCCCTCCTCCACTCCACCCAAGGGTCATCGTTGTTCTGACTTCTCCCACCACAGGCTAGTTTTGGAAAGTGTCATTGTTCTAATTTTCATTTCCTGAATTACTAGCGGAGCTAACCGCCTGCCACACCTTAGTGGATGAGCTTTAGTTCCTCTTTCGTAAATTGTCTTTTTAAGCTCTTTGTCTAGGAAACAGTTGATTCTTAAACAATTTCCCAATGTCGAGTTTGGCTAAAGGTGGAGTGTAGTCATCGTGACATTGTTTGAAACTGGAGAAGCATGTCGTATGTGTGTATATGTGTGCATGTTTTTTGTTCTCGTGATCTCATCCTGACAATGTAGTAGTCCCCCCATCCAAAGTTTCACTTTCCATGGTTTCAGTTACCCATGATCAACTTTGGTCTGAAAATATTAAATGGAAACACCAGAAATAAACAATTCCTAAGTTTTCAGTTCACACTGTTTTGGGTAGCATGATTAAATCCCACAGTGCCCCACTCTGTCCCTCCTGGAGGTGACTTACCCCTTTGTCCAGCATCTTGGCGCCATAGATGCTCCCTGCCCGTGGTTGCTCCATAGCCCTCTTGGCAGTATCACTATGCCTGTGTTCCAGTAACTCTTACTTTACTTAATTGTTCTATCTTATTATTAGTTACTGTTGTTAATCTCTTACCGTGTCTAACTTATTAATTAAGCTCTATCATAAGTAGGTATATATAGGAAAAAACGTAGTCTATGTAGGGTTCAGTACTATCTGTAGTTTCAGGCAAATACTGAGGGTCTTGGGGTGAATCCCCCCCATGAGGGAGGCAGACGTACTCCTCTTATTTATGCTTCTCCATTGCAAAGCAAGGTGGCATCTCTCTAGGCAACACCTGAAAGCCAGGGTAACTTTTTGGTGACAGAGCTGAGCCTAAATAGACTCTGCTGTTCTTCCAGTGTCTGTGAGAATTACAGAAATAGGTCACTGAACCTTTTTAAAAATAGAACTGACACATTTGGGGAAAGCATTTTTTCTGCTGAGATAGCACACAGTACAAGATGAAATGATCCCTAGAGGGTAGATGAATTTAGACATTTGGTATTAAAAATAAATAAATAGTCTTAATGACTCACAGGGAATATAGCACCTTTCACAAGAAAGGTCTCTAGACATTGTTACCTGAACAGACCACAATAAATTTCTAATAGACAAGGTACAAGCCATTGCCAGCCCCTGCCCACCCACACCTGGCAACAGCTTTTGATGGGAAGAGAAGGGCCACATCAGCTGTGGGCAGTTCCTTCAGCAATGCCAGATGTCCTGTCTCCCTGGGTGAGCTTGATCCCCTCTTAATTTCCTACAGAACCCACCAGCTCACCCTTGGACAGGCATATGGCTGCATAACAGGCAGGAAGGGGGAGGGTTACCTCACTGCCTGCGAGCATCTCCACTCCAGCTCTTCCAAGGCCTTGACTGATTTGGGGTGGGGCAGCCCCAGAATCCTTTACCCAAGGCTCCCCATGAGCTGTCTAGGACCCCGGATCTGCCTGTGCAGGGCCCTTTTCAACTTCCTCCTGAGCCATCTTCAGAAAGCTCCCTCTGGCTACTGCCCAGCCCCTCTTCACACTCCCCTGCTGCCTTCAGGAGCCCCACGAACCCACAGTGGAGCTCAAGTCTTCTTAAGAGATTCCCAAGGAACTCCCTCCCTTTCCATGCTGGGCTTTGCTACTGAGATGAGCAAGGTCTGCCAGCTGGAAGGCAGGACCTCGGGGTACTGCGGGGAAGATGCTTTGATTCAGCCCAAGAATGGCAGGAGAATACCAAGAGGGATTGGCTGTCCCAGGAGTGGGGTGTGAATAGAAGCAAGGGGTGAAGCAGAGTGGGGGCAGGGCCACTTGCTTTTTAGGAAGCGTGGGCAGCAGGGAGAAAGGCACAGGGCTGTCACTACCTAGGTATCAGAGCAGTGACCCTGGGAAAGTGGGAAATAGGAGGGGACAGTTCAGGTATAAGACATTCTTCAGAAGTAGAACCCACTGAAGATTTGGTGACATAGAGTTGGCACCAAGGGAAAGATGAGTCACAGATGCCATGCAGCACCTTCTAACAAGAACGCAGCTCCTTTCATGATACGCGTTTCCATTCCATAGGAGTGTACTGAGTGCTTACTTTGTGGCAGATATTGCTGTAGACTCTAGAAATGACATGTGGCTACTACCCCAAGGGAGTTTTAATTCTGTTGAGTGAAAGACAGGCAATGTAGACAACAAAGTAAACAAATAAAAAAGATGATTTCCCATGGTGACAGAGGCTCTTGGAAAATAATTTGGGCTGGGGGAATTGTGTGATCAGGGAGGAATTTTCAGAGAAAATGACATCAGAGCTGGATAGAAAGAAGGGGCCAGTCCAGGAGAAGCCAGGGCAACAACATTCTAGGTAAATAAAAGAGCCTCTGCAAAATGCCCCAAGGTAGCATCAACCTTGGCACATTTGAGGAACAGAAAGAGGACCAGTGTGGCATGACAAAAAGAGTTTTGCAAGACTAAATTGTTTTCTGACCTCTTGCAGAGCTGCCGTTGAAGTCTTACTAACTTAGAGTTTCACCTCTGGTTTCTAGACACTACAAGCCCTTCCCGTTTCTCTTTTCTCTTTCTCTCCAGACCAGCTACAGCAAGGAGTGAGATCAGTACCTTAAGACCCAATGTAGGACTTAAGAAAGGACTGGAACCAGTTCAGTCCTCCCAGAAGCCAAATGGGGAGGGGGTCCTGAGGCCAGTCTGGCTCCTTTTTTCAAGAATGTGGTTCTTAACCACCTTTGAGCTATGAACTCCTTTAGCAATCTGATGCAAGCTGGAAAAAATACGCATACACATAATTTTGTACACAACTTCAGAGAAAGCACATTGTAGACCCTCTCCTAAGGTTGCTACTTTGGCAGTTCTTTCTAAGCCGGTTCATTTTCTCATTAAGGCTGTGTCCTTTTCACAGAAGAGAGTATATGTGGAAAAACAAAAACAAAAACAAAACACCTTATAAACAGCAAATCAACCTATTAATACAGCCTATAAATTCAAAGTCTTGTAAGATATAGAATAGATTGGCCAGGTGTGGTGGCTCACGCCTGTAATCCCAGCGCTTTGGGAAGCTGAGGTGGGAGGATCACGAGGTCAGGGGTTTGAGACCAGCCTGACCAACATGGTGAAACCCCATCTCTACTAAAAAAACAAAAATTAGCCGGGCGTGGTGGTGTGCACCTGTAATCCGAGCTACTGAGGAGGCTGAGGCCGGAGAATCACTTGAACCCAGGAAACGGAGGTTGCAGTGAGCCGAGATTGTGCCATTGCACTCCAGCCTGGGCGACAGAGTGAGACTCCGTTTCCTGGGGGAAAAAAAAAAAAAAAAGAATAGATCTTCCATAGAGATGCATCCACATATAAAATATAACTATAATAATGGTAAAAACATATTTACAGTGTTTTTACTTTGCAGCACACATATATCATTCTATCCCATTGAAATCCTTGGCATATGGTTAGGGAAGACATTGTCCCATTTTATAGATGAGGACACTGAAGAAGAGAGGGCTAGGTGGCATGCCTGTAATGACAGGGCCGGGTGGCAGCAGCACTGGGACAGGAACCAAGGTCTTGTCACTCCGAGGCCCAGGCTCCCCAAGAGGCAATGCCGTCTGCACTTCTCTTTGATTGCTCTCTCCCATGGCCTTAGGCAGAACCTGGGGGCGCTCACGGCAAAGGCAGTCTTTGTGCATGCACACTTGGCCCGCATCAGCCTCCTGGTGGGAAACACAGACACAGAGGAAATGATGTTTTCTAACACAGGGAAAGAAGCACAGGGCCTGCCTTCAGAAATCAAGGTTGCGTAGACAGAGGGGAACTTTTTACCAGGGCTTCCTCTTGGCCAATTAAACCTAATGACTCATTTCCTTTTTCTTCTGAAAACATACAGCATTTTCTCCTACCGTCCTGAAGGAGGAGAAACCTGGAAGAACGCCACCTAGTGGCCCAAACCTTCAAGATCGTGGCTCCTTCTCCACCTGCTACCCCGCCCCCACTTCATAGGCCACCTTGCCTATTAGAAAACTGGACCCATACCCCTCACCATGCAGCAAGATAATCTCAAATGGATCAGAAATCCAAACGTAAAAAAATGAAAACAAACAAGTATCAGAAGACACATCGGTGGACTTCTTTATACCCTGGGTGTGGGAAGTCTGTGATTCAAATCCCAGATGCAAACCAAAGGGCCTCTGGGTGCTTGCTCCTCCAGCTGAGAGAGGAGTTGGGGAGGAAAGGCGATGTGTGGGCAATCTTCTCCTCCGTGTGGCATCTGCCCCACCCCATTAGAGCTAAGTGACTGTCCCCAGCCTGGGCTCCTGGGATCAAGGGGAGGGAAACAGATTAAAAAAAACAATTAAACTGGCTGGGCCCACTGCCCCCTTTGCCTTCTGGACAGACAGGAAAAGAGGTCTCACTGCTGTGCCTCACAAAAAGGAAGACATTCAAGATATCAAGAGGCGTGGAGCTGGGCACGGTGGCGCCTACCTGTAATCCTAGCACTTTGGAAGGACAGGCAGGAGGATCCTTTGAGCCCAGGAGTTTGAGACCGGCCTGGGCAAAATATCGAGACTCTGTCTCTACAAAAAGTAAAATAAAATAATTAAAAATTAGCCGGGTGCAGCACTGTACCCCTGCAGTCTCAGCTACTCCGAAGGCTGAGACAGGAGAATCATCCGAGCCCAGGAGGTCGAGGCTGCAGTGAGCCAAGATCGCACCACTGCACTCCAGCCTGGGTAACAGTGGAAGACCTTGTCTCAAAAAAGAAAAAAAAGAAGTTTTGTTTTTTTTTTCAAATAAAAATTTTAAGAGAGGAATGGAAACCCAGTCCAAGCTCAGCCTGACACCAAAATGAATGCTTTTCTAATGAAAAATCAAATATTTCAATGAAATAAAAGAAAGTATTAATAAATTCAACAACTTTAAAAAAACCTGCTGCATAGCAAGAAAACTGGCACATTGTGAGAAATATTTGCAACATTTTCACAGAAACAGGTTAATCTGTAATATTAGGAATATAACAAATATTTAAATATTGAGGGGAAAAGGCCAAAACTTGATAGAAAATTAGGCAAAAGGCATGAACAAACAGTTCACACACACAGATACAAAAATATATAGATGGACCTTAAAATACAGAAAGATGTTCAGGTTCACTCATTATGTTATAAATATATATTAGAACCACATTGAGATACCAATCTTTATAAAATTGACAGAATTTCAGATATTTGACAGAGCACTCCATTGGCAAGGCTGTAATGATTCTCATAATCATTGGTGGGAATGCAAAATGATACAACCCCTGTGCAGGGAATTTGGAAATATCTCGCAAAACTATATATGCATTTACCCTTTGACTCAGTAATACTAACTCCAGGAATTTATCCTGAAAGTACGCTTCTACTTTCAACATATTTATAAGGTTGTTCACGGAGACATTACTTAAACAGCAAAATATTAGAAACAGCTTCATTCAATTAGGATAGTAATTGAATAAACCGTGATGCAGTCACACAATGGAGTACCACACAGCTGAAAAGCGTTGAGGAATATTTCTCTGAATTAACATGTAGTAATTTCCAGGATATATTAAGTGAAAAAATTGAAGTACTAAAGAATGGATATATTATGCTACTTTTTTTTTGTATTAGAAAGAGAAACACAGGAAGAATAAACCAAAAACAAGCAGTTGCCTAGAGGCGATTGGCAGGAATAGAGTGGAAGTAATAAGGATGTGAGTTTACCCTTTCGTATTAGTCTGTTCTCACACTGCTAATAAAGACATACCCGAGACTGAGTAATTTATAAAGGAAAGAGGGTTAATTGATTCATAATTCAGCATGGTTGGGGAGGCCTCAGGAAACTTACAATCATGGTGGAAGGGGAAGCAAACACGTCCTTCTTCACATGGTGGCAGGAAGGAGAAATGCCAAGCAAAAGGGGGAAAAGCCCCTTATAAAACCATCAGTCTCGTGAGAACTCACTCACTATCACGAGAACAGCAGCGTGGGTGTAGCCACCACAATGATTCAATTACCTCCCATCAGGCCCCTAGTACAACTCACAGGGATTATAGGAACTACAGTTCGAGAAGAGATTGGGTGAGGACACAGCCAAACCATATCAAATTCTGAGTGTAGTTTTTGATATATAGTTATACATAACTACATATATAATTAGATATATACATATATATAGTTTTGACTTTTGAACCTTGTAACAGTTTTTCATATTTAATTTTTTTTTTTGACAGAGTCTCACTCTGTCACCCAGGCTGGAGTGCAGTGGCATGATCTCAGCTCACTGCAACCTCCAACTCCTGGGTTCCAGTGATTCTCCTGTCTCAGCCTCCTGAGTAGCTGGGATTACGGGCACGTGCCACCATACCTGACTAATTTTTGTATTTTTAGTAGAGATGGGGTTTTGCCATGTTGGTCAAGCTGAGCTCAAACTCTTGACCTCAGGTGGTCTGCCCACCTTGGCTTCCCAAAGTGCTGGGATTATAGGTGTGAGCCACCATGCCTGGCCCATATTTAAACTTTTTTAAATTTTGAGAGATTTGTCAAAAAGAAAACCTTAAAATTAAATGCAAATATAAACAAATGAACTTAACTGCATATAAAATTAATAATAGAACCATACAGAAAAAAAAAAAAAAAGGTTGGCATGACCTGTGAATACAGTATTCTGACTGTATACCCTTAACTGGATGTATTCTAAGAATAGTACTACAAAGAAGTCTTGAAATTTTCTTAGGCTTGATGTTGGAAATGGGCTTTTGCACTACCCAGAGAGGGGTCCATTCTGCCTTGTTCTGGATTCCTGTCTTAAATTAAAGGGAAACGTTCACAATTTCCAGAGCCCTTGATGTTCTGCCAATGAAGAAGGAGGACGTCCTTAAGTTCCTTGCAGCAGGAACCCACTTAGGTGGCACCAACCTTGACTTCCAAATGGAACAGTACATCTATAAAATGAAAAGTGATGGCATCTACATCCTAAAACTGAAGAAGACCTGGGAGAAGTTTCTGCTGGCAACTCATGCCATTGTTGCCATTGAAAACCCTGCTGATGTCAGTGTCATATCCTCCAGGAAAACTGGCCAGAAAGCCATGCTGTCATTTGCTGCTATCGCTGGAGCCACTCTTGTTGCTGGCCGCTTCACTCCTAGAACATTCTCTAACCAGATCCCGGCAGCGTTCTGGGAGTCACGGCTTCTTGTGGTTACTGACCCCAGGGCTGACCACCAGCCCCTCACAGAAGCGTCTTACGTTAACATACCTACCATTGCTCTGTGTCACACAGATTCTCCTATGCACTATGTGGACATTGCCATTCCATGCAACAAGGGAGCTCACTCAGGGGGTTTGACGTGGTGGATGCTGGCCTGGAAAGTCCTGCACATGCCTGGCACCATCTGTGAAAGGGAGGTCATGCCAGATCTCTGCTTCTACAGAGATCCTGAAGAGACTGTAAAGAAGAGCAGGCTGCTGCTGGAAAGGCAGTGACCAAGAGGAATTTCAGGAGGAATGAACTGCTGCAGCTCCTGAGTCCACTGCTATAAGCCTGAGGGTGCAGACTGGTCTGAAGGTGGCAGGTGCCCTCTGTGCTATTCAGCAGCTCCCTACTGAAGACTGGAGCGCTCTGCTTGCTACGGAAGACTGGTCTGCAGCTCCCACTGCTTAGGCCACTAAATGTATAGGAGCAACCACTGAATGGGCTTAAGCTATTTGTCCACAGGCTTTTAAACACCATGAAAAGAAGGCTGACAGAAATAAACACCAATTTATTTTAAAAAGGAAATGGTAGGCCAGGCGCCACGGCTCACACCTGAAATCCCAGCACTTTGGGAGGCCAAGGAGGGTGGATCACCTGAGATCGGGAGTTCGAGACCAGCCTGACCAACACGGAGAAACCCGTCTCCACAAAAAATACAAAATTAGCTGAACATTGTGGTGCATGCCTGTAATCAAAGCTACTCAGGAGGCTGAGGTGGGAGAATCACTTGAACCCGGGAGACGGAAGTTGTGGCAAGCCAAGATTGCACCATTGCACTCCAGCCTGGGCAACAAGAACAAAACTCTGTCTCAAAAAAAAAAAAAAGGAAATGGTATTGGAGCAGTCATTCTAAAAGTGTTTGGGGTGTATTGTAGGATAGAGCAAATGGTTAAATATATTGATGTTTCCTTTTTGCTAACAGGTGTGTCAAAATAAACTAAATGAATGAATGTATTGATGGTATTGGAAGTCAGAGTTCCCATTGTGGAGGAAGCAAAGATACAAATATGGAATGGAAAGATGAGGAGGAATCCTGTGGAGCTGGATTTTAATTGGAAGAAATTAAAAAAAAAAAAAAAAAACTAGTGTTCTAAAAGTATGCATTTCCTAGATCTGTCCACTGAAAGGGTTTACAAGCAATGGTATCCCAGTAGCAATGAGTAAACCTAGTGGCCAGAGCTTGATTTCTGAATGCCATTTTCCACTAAAAGAAACCTTGGAGAAATGGCTGATTCCAGACCTGGAGCAGGGAAAATATGAAGTGAGCCGCACAGTAAGGAAGTGCTCGAAGACGGATGGGGTTATGTCAAAAGGATACTGACATCAGCTTGGAGGAACTTCCACTAACCATATTTGGGACAATCTGACATCAAAAATAAGTTATTGTAGTAGATTATAATGCAGACCTCAGAAGGTTAGCCTCAAGGTACTGGGGGCCCTTCCATAGGGCTTCTTGACAGCATGGCAGCTGGCTTCCCCTAGAGCAAGCCGTGTGACAGCTCCTGAAATGAAAACCGTAGTGTTTTATATAACCTCATCTCAGAAGTGACAGTCTGTAACTTCTGACTTATTCTATTCTTTAGAAGCAAGTCACTAAGTCCAGCGCATACCTAAGGGGAGGGGGAACCCAAGAAGATAGACACCAGGAGGTAGGGACCAATGGGGGGGCCATCTTAGAGGGCACTCACACCAAGTAATCAAGTATAACCACATCACCAGTAATGAAACAAATTGACATTATGTCCCTTTTGATACACCACAATGCGAAATACACAGTGATACAGATATAGTATTCTTGGAGGAAAAGGAAAGAAGAAACAAACAGACAAATCCAGAATGTGGGACACTCTGTAAGAGAACCAGTTTGAATTCTCAAAAAGTGTCAATATCATGAAAAAGATAAAATAATTGCTGTAAGTTACAGAAGACTAAAGAGACATGACAAATCGTGAGATTTGTGATCCTTAAAAAGATTCAGGATCGGCCGGGCGCGGTGGCTCATGCCTGTAATCCCAGCACTTTGGGAGGCCGAGGCGGGCGGATCACGAGGTCAGGAGATCGAGACCATCCTGGCTAACACGGTGAAA